CTTTCCGTAATAAACAATTGTTTAGAAAACATGAGAAAATTCACACAGGAAAGAATCCTTATAAATGCTTAGAGTGTGGAAAATGTTTCACTCGAAGCTCATCTCTTTGCCAACATAATAAAACACACACAAAGGAGGAAAGCAAAACGTGCCCAGAATGTGGGAAAACTTTTTCCACAAAATCATGCTTGCTGCGACATCGGAGACTTCACACCGGAGAAAGACCCCATCAGTGTCCAGAATGTGGGAGATGTTTTGGCAGAAAGTCAACCCTAATTCGACATCAGAGACTTCACACAGGGGACAGACCTTATCCATGCCCAGAATGTGAGAAAAGATTTGTGGATTCTTCTGAACTTCGGAGACACCAAAGAAGACACAGGGGAGAAAAACGTAAGTCTCACAGTGGGGAGAGACCCTATCAGTGCCCAGAATGTGGGAAAAGTTTTTCCCATAGGATATACCAAATTCGACATCAAAGTATTCACACTGGAGAAAGACCCTATCAGTGCCCAGAATGTGAGAAAAGATTTGTCGATTCTTCTCAACTTCAAAGACACCAAAGGACGCACACGACAGAAAAGCTGTATAAATGTAAGGATTGTGATAAATGTTTTTCTTTTAAGGAAGCTCTTTTTCGACATCAGAGTATCCATACAGGGGTGAAGCCCTATCAGTGCATCGAGTGTGGAACATTTTTCCGTACAATACAGATCCTCAGAAATCATGAGAATGTTCACAGAGGGGAAAAAAAGTTCAAATGTTTAGATTGTGGGAAAGCATTTACTCGTCAATCAACCCTTATAAGTCACTGCCAAACCCATACGGGTGAGAAACACCACAAATGCTCAGTATGTGAGAAATCTTTTACCTGGAAAGGTACACTTGTGATGCATCAGAGAACACACTCAGAGAAGCAATATAAATGTCCAGAGTGTGAGAAAACTTTTCGTTGCAAATATTATCTTAGAAAACATGAGAGGCGTCACAAAGGAGAGCATGTGCAGAAAAATGAAAAGTGTCCCGAATGTGGGAAGTGTTTTGATCAAAAGTCAAACCTAATTCGACATCAGAGAATTCATACTGGAGAAAGACCCCATCAGTGCCCTGAATGTGGGAAATGTTTTGGCTACAAAGAAAGTCTACTTCGACATCAGAAACTTCACACTGGAGAGAGACCCTATCAATGCCCAGAATGTCAGAAAACATTTGTGGTGTCTGGTGAACTTCGGAGGCATCAGAAGGGGCACACAGGAGAGAGGCCCTATAAATGTGGGGAGTGTGGGAAAGGTTTTCTCACAGCAACACTGCTTCGGGTTCATATGCAGAAGTCACACCTAATTCAACATGGGAAACTTCACACCAGAGAAAGACGCCATCAGTGCTCAGAATGTGGGAAATGTTTTGTTGAAAAGTCACACTTAATTCAACATCAGAGAATTCACACCGGAGAAAAACCCCATCAGTGCTCAGAATGTGGGAGATGTTTTGCCGCAAAGTCACACCTAATTCGACATGAGAAACTTCACACTGGAGACAGACCCTATCAATGCTCAGAATGTGGGAAACAATTTGTGGAATCTGCCGAACTTCGGAGACACCAGAACAGACACACAGGAGAGAGGCCCTATAAATGTGTGGAGTGTGGGAAAAGTTTTCACACAGCAGCACTGCTTCGGGTTCATCAGAGAATCCACACGGGGGAGAAGCCATACCTGTGTGTGGAGTGTGGGAAATGTTTTTCCCAAAAACAACACCTTGGAAGGCATCAAAAGGTCCATATGAAATGAAGCCATAGAGATGCATATAGTGCGGTAAAGATTCACTCAAAAGTGAGACACCAGAAAACTCACATGGAAAAAGCCCTAATAGGCCCTGATGGTAGAACAGTTTTTTATAGTTGTTCAACCCTTAGAAGTTATAAAAGAGTTCATAAAGGGGGGGGATTAGAAACTCGCAGAGAGCATTTTCTTACCAACTGTCCCTTAAAAATCACACTCTAATCCAGATTGGAAAGATGCACTTTAAATCTTTGAAGTGTGATGTATGGTTTGGCTGGAAAAATATTCTTTTAGCATCAGTGAATTCTTACTGGAGAGAAATTTTTATCAGGGCTTAGAATGTGACAGAGATTTTTGTCTGATCATCAAATCTTCAGATGCACATGAAAAATCCACATAGGAGGAAAACCTTACAGGTGTATAACATGAGAATATTTTTCCTTGCCCATTGGAATATCTTGCCTTCAGGAGATTGTCCATTAAAATTGCCTTCTGGAAATTTTCTTTGCCAAGGTATGTTTTGTTGTAATTTTTTAAAATTTTAATTCTGAGATGTGAAAATTTGATATGAGTGTGTATATCTAATATACAGTATAATGTGAAATTGTCTGGAAGTGTATGAAGACTCCTGCCTTGGGCAGGGAAGGTAGGACTAGAAGACTACAGCTCTTGTTATTCTGTTGTAGGTCCCTTCTATCCCATTGATTCTATGGATTTAAAAAGAAAAAGGGACATGGATGTAAACCAAAAGTGCTGACAAAAGGGGGAAAAACTAAGGTTTCAGTGAAAACCTTGCAAGCTACCAAAAGTCTCTTTAGTTGGGCAGGATTAAAAAATCCGGGAAATAAATAGAAACATGGGATATGTATCCTAGAGCACAACAGAAGCCCAGAGGTAAGAAGGACTTTGCTGATAACTTTGTGCTAATTTTAAATAATTTTTTGGAAGAGATCAAAATATTAATGGAAACATTAACAGAATTTTAGTGCATTAGCTGGTTTTAAAACCAATAGCTAAGAGGACTTTAAAATGGGAAGGGTATGGCTTTTTTATGGTTCACCTTTGACAATAGAAAAAGTAGGCAATGCCCCCAAACCCAAAGTTTCAGCACAAGAAGCATTTTATGGAAAAGAAAGAGGAGACCGTAATAAATGGATAGTGTGAAATCCTGATGTCTTTCATTTTTTGTCTCATTTCTTTGAACCGCTTTTCCCCATCAGTCAATACAGCTAGTGGACTCAAACAACAGTTCATTTAGTGACTGTTTGAAGTTAAATGGCACTGAAAAAAGTAACCGATGACCATTTCTCAGCATCCCCAAGGTCATGTGATCCAAATTCAGCTGCTTGACCACTGATTCACATTTGTGACGGTTGCAGTGTTCCAGGGTCACCTGACCCCCTTTTGCAACCTTTTGACAAGCAAACTCAAGGGGGAAGCCAGGTTCATTTAACAACCATGCGACCAGCTAAACGACTGCAGTGATTCACTTAACAACTGTGTCAAGAAAGGTCGTAAAATGGGGAAAACTCACTTAACAGGTGTTTCACTTCACAATGGAAATTTTGGGTTCAATGGTGGT